CTTAACTGCTGAGCCATCCCTCCAGCCCCAGAATTTTTTTTTAAAGAAGCATATACCAGAGAGTAGAAGAACCATTTGAGTTTTAGAAACTTCCAGTTATTGGGACAAAAAGTAGAACTGGTGGGGGTGGAAGTGGGGAGGATATGCTGGCCTCTTTTGAAGACAGAAAGCTGTGGTCTGTAGTAAAAGAGGCAGCCTTAACGCGAGAGCTCAGTTGCCCCTTCCTCCTCTCAGCATCTTGACAGAATATGTAACAGTAAAGGGGAAGAACCCAGAGCCCAGGCAACCATTGGCTTAATACAGCCCAAGGCTCTGGTGCCAAGAGGATCATTTACTCTGAGGTTTATCACTATCATCTTGAGGTTTTTTGTTATGATTTTCTAAGAGGTACCTTGGAGAACTCCCAGCTGCCTTCTGCTGGACCAGAAGTGTTTGTATCCTGTCCATCTGGGGGGTCCTGATTGGAGATGTAGAAAGGCCTCTCACATATGGGCCGGCTGTTGGAGGTTTTATATGCACGTCTGGGGAGAATTCATATTCAGTGAGTTAAGTGGGCTGGCCAGCCAGCCTCTAGGGTTGGGCTGGACTATACAGTATACCCCAGGCCGGTTCTCAGCTTGGGCTTGGGATAAGTAGCCCCTGTCATTCCAGGTATTCTCCAACACACCATCAAAAGCTGGGCATGGAGCCAACTGTTGTGTGTTCCCATGGAAACCATGAACTTTGTACACCTTATCTCTTACTCTCCCCAACTCCCTTATTCTTTGTCCCTACTGCTCCATGGGTTCCTAGAGGTGGTCCAATGAGTCACTTCCCAGCCATTAGTGTGGTTCCTGAGATACAACTCAGTGCCACAAATGGAACCTGTCCAGTGGTGACCCAGAAGAAACTCCAGTCACCCAGAATGTAAACTGAGGTTAGCTCTACTCTCTTCCATTCCTCCTTCAGACAAGACATTGCAATGGTCCCCGTGAACTCAGCCAGATGCAGAACTTGCCTGAGAGCTTATAAAGTGACGGAACTGAGAGACAACCTGGTGAGAGACTGGAATAAATGACGAGAGTGGCTATGGTCCCAGCTTCAGGAGGCCGAGGCTGGAGCATCATTGAAGTGCTTGAGTTCAAGACTAGCCTGGGCTGCAGAGAAAGGTGTTAAGACAAAACACTAAAAATAAAAACAAAAAAATATAAGCAGTAAAAACTTGGAAACAAAAAATTAAATTCCATTTATAATAATAGCATTAGAAAAATATATAAACCAGGCATGGTGGCATGTGCCTTTAATCCCAGTATTCACAAGGCAGAGGCAGGGAAATCTCCTTGATTTCAAGCTTGCCTGGTCTACATGCAAATTCTAGTCCAGGCAGAAGTACACAGTGAAACCCTGTCTCTAAATAAATAAATAAATAGAACGTTGCTCTGACAGAGGACCTGGGTTCAGGGTTCAGTTTCAGCAGTTACCCACATGGTGACTAACAGCATTCTGCAACTCCATTTCCAGATTGTCTAGAGCCCCCTCCTAGCCTCGTGGTCATGGTCATGGTCCACAGATATGCATGCGCGCACACACACATATCTTTAAAAAATAAAAATTAAATCAAGGCAGTGATGGCACATGACTTTAATCCCAGTATCCGGGAGGCAGAGGCAGGTGGATCTCTGTGAATTCGAGGTTAGCTCCGTCTACAGAGTGAGCTCTAGGACAGCCAAGGCTACACAATACAGTGAAACCCTATCTTGAAAACCCCCAAACAGCCAGGCAGTGGTGGCGTAAGCTTTTAATCTCAGCACGTGGGAGGCAGAGGCATGTGGGTCTCTGAGTTCAAGGCCAGCCTGGTCTACAGAGCAAGTTCCAGGACAAGCTCCAAAGCCACACAGAGAAACCCCGACTAGAAAAAAAGAAAAAGGAAACTGATTGCCTGAGGTTCTCTCTCAGGGGCCTGGGTGGCCACTGCAGTTCTATTGGGACTTTTACCTTGACTTCACCCTCTGCCTCACACCACATATGATCAATTAGGTCCATCAACATTAATAAGTCACATGGTCACCTCTTGCTGAGCACACTGTCTATATTGTCTGGCCTCCTTGGAGTCCTGTGGGTCCTTTGTAGCCACATGACTTGTTTTTAACCCATGGTGTGCTCAAGGAAATGACATGGTGACTTCTCAAAGCACAGCCATAATGTGTCCCTCATGTCCTGCCTTGTGGCCAGCAGCTGAGAGGATCCAGAGGAAGTCGTCAAGGTGTAGAAGCCTGTATCTCCTTCAGTGGTAAAGCACGGAAGGGATCCATCAGATGATGCTTGGGGGAGGAGAGGAGTGTTGATTCCAGCAGCTAATGTCTCCCTGATACACATCTGAGACGTTCTCCTTTGTAGCTCCCAACAGATCAATAAACATCTGGAATGCTCAGCGTCATTGGAATCGTCATAAAAGTGCAGTGTCTTTACTGATCTTTGCAGATAGAGCGGGGAGGCTGGCCAGAGGCCCTGCGGCTCCATTCATGGCAAGCCAGGCAAGCCTGTCTGCTCCCCAAGGGCAGTTTCCTTTCACTCCTCCACCTCAGCCCAAATGAAGAGGTGCTTAGAAGACCGCCAGACTCGGGCTGCTGTGTGATTTGCTCTGCCCACCTGCTGCCGTGGTTGACAGCAGAACCTCCTCCATGCCCCATGGTCAGCAGCGTCCGATATGTATGGCGCCTTTGATCTTTATTCCCGAGCACTCAAAGGAAAATGGTTAAAATGACGATCATTTTCTCCAGCATGCCATGTTAATGTCTACGGAACCCACCTTTTACCATGCCGTGAATGTACGGACCTGCCTTCTCCATTGGCTTCTTCCTTCCAGTAGTAAAGTCTGCTGTGATTCCAATGAGAAACATCTCCCATTGGCTCAGATATATAAACACTTGATACTGTTGACTGAGGTTTCTGTCCTACCAGGTCCCACATCTGTTTAGTCCCAAATAAACACAAGAGCTCCTATATTAATTATAAACTGATTGGCCTAGTATTTCAGGCTTCTTATTAACTCTTATAACTTATATTAGCCCATAATTCTTGTTTGTGTGCTGGGCAGTGGTGGTGCACGCCTTGAATCCCAGCACCTGGGAGGCAGAGGCAGGCAGATCTCTGTGAGTTCGAGGCCAGCCTGGTCTACAAGAGCTAGTTCCAGCTAGTTCCAAAGCTACAGAGAAACCCTGTCTCAGGGAAAAAAAAAAAACAAAAACTCTTGTTTGTGTCAGCCACATGGTTTGGTACCTTTTTCGGCAAGGCAGTCACGTCTTGTTTGCTCCATGTCTGGCTTCCTCTCTGTCTGGGTGAAAACTGCAGACTGAAACTTTCCTCTTCCCAGAATTCTCATTCCCCTGCCTCTATTTCCTGCCTGGTTGCCCTGCTTATATTTCCTGCCTGGCTACTGGCCAATCAGCGTTTATTTAAAATACAAGTGACAGGGTATACACCATTGTCCCACAGCTGGTGGCACTGTTTTGGAACAAGGTGCTAGAGAAAATCCCTCACTAGGGACTGGATTTGAGAGTTCTTAGCCTGACCCTACTTCCAGTTTGTTCTCTGTGCTTTGTATTTATGGTTGAGGATGTAAGCTCACAGTTTCCGGCTCCTGCCACCATTCCTGTCCCCAGGGTACCATCCCATTCTCTGCCAAGATGGACTCTTAGCCTTCGGGAACCATTAAGCCAAAACAGACTCTTCTGTAACTTGATTTGGTCATGGCTTTTTGTCACAGCATCAGGAAAGTGGCAGATACAGTCTGCTCCGTGTCTCCCTTACCTAAATAATTCCAACTCTGTCCTCCCTGCAGTCCTGAAGGAGCAGAGCGCAGAGCCTCCTGCTATATCCTGGTGTCCTCCTCTATCAAATGGGGATGTGATACCACCCATGTACAGTCATCACTCGATAGCATAGGCAAAGCCGGGTGTGGTGGTGCATGCCTGTATCTCAGAACTCAGGGACCTGAAGCAGGTGAATTTTTATAAGTTTGAGGCCAGTCTAGCCTACATAAAGAATTCCAGGTCTACCAAGGCTAAATACCCTTTCTTAAAAAATAGAAAAGAACTTGTATATGTGTATGTGTGTGTGTGTGTGTATGTGCATGCACAGTCATTATAGCTAGAAGCCAGAGATACAGTTCAGTGAGACAGCAGTTGCCTAATGTGTGCAAGACATTGAATCCATAGAACCACTAACAACAGCAAAAGCACCCAAACAAACAAAAAAAGGAATTTATAGCAAGATGAAAGCACAAAAAAGAGAAGAAAAGTAACCAAGAAACAACTGCTGCTTTCCATTTAGGACATAAGCCAATCTTTTTCTGTTACACATACATGCATAATTTACCATAATGAGCTTATGCAGCAATACAGGTTTTTAAGTTGCTTTTTTCCTCAGCCAATAACTCATCGTGGTTACTTTACACATTAAGGATTCTCCCAGGGCAGGATGTTGGTTTCTCAGTATCTATTTATGGAAGCATCTTGATTTAAAACGAAACATGGAGTTGGTGAAATGGCTCAGCAGGTGAAAGCGGGGACTCTGCAAGTCTGACAACCCGAGTTCAAATACCTGAAGCCCACAGTGAATGGAGTCTTCTGATATGCCCTCTCCCCTATATAACCTCTTCACACACACACACACACACACACACACACACACACACACCTACTACTACTACTACTACTACTACTACTACTACTACTACTACTAAAATAGATGCCCCCCTCCCCAGTGTTCCCTCTTCTCAGTATCACCAAACATCTCTACATGCACCCTTCCGTCTTAGGAGCCAAGTATAACTCAGCATCTGAAGAAGAGCATGTGGTCCATCTTTTTTGCTCTCCCTCCGACAAGCAGACATAACTCCACAAGCCGTATATGCTATAATATTAATTATATGTTATTATATGCTATAATAACAACTGCAGCTACTTCTGCTCTCCGGGAAAGAAGACGATTGTGAAGGGGGAAAAAACAAAGACGGTAAGTATTTGCTGAAGGCCACAACGCCAGCTGTGTTTATTTGTTGAACTCAATCTCCAAGTCCATGGACCAAACACCAATGGTCCTTTAGATTTGTAGTTTATATACTGTGTCTTTCAACACCCTGAAACTTTGACCCAGGTTGTAGCTGAAGGAAAGAGGGTTTCTGGTAAATCCAGTTTCCAGTCGGGAACCCCAAGCCAAATCTTCCCATCCCTCTTCCTGGAGTGGACCACCTCTGTGGTGAAACCCGCTGGCAATCCATCAAAAAGGGAGGCGGGTTGACTTGGAGCAGAAACCGTAAGTGCTTATAAGAAATGAAAGACATGGTTTGGGGTGAAAAAGTCATGCTTCCGGGTACAAAGGCAAAACCACTAATAACCCAAGGATTCGGTGTTCCGTCTGACCTGTTCTGATGCTGTCACCATGGTGACGATCTCTATAAACAGCTGCAAAATAACCAGATGAAAAGGAAGGAGAAACATCGACCCCGGCGATCTGGAGTTTTGTGAGAGACTAAGGCAATGTCACGTGGGGTAACTATGGAACGCAGAAACTGTTCTTCTAATAACCATCCTCCCTTCCTTTTGTGAGGTTGAACAAAGGTCTGGCAGATCACAGAAAGAAGTCTTGGCCCAGCGTCTTCAGGGTTCAGGAAGTGCAGCCAAAAGAACTGAAATAAATGGGTAGAGACACTCGGAGTCTTCACACACTCTCGGCCTGGGACACTCAGCTGAGCCTGTGTGGAGTCCAAGGGTGGAACAAAGCCGATGTTCTTTGGAGAAGGGGCTGGGTCTGGGACTCCAGGGAACTGGACTTGGTTGCCTGCCCCTGACCTTGATTCCAGAGCCAGTACAGCGAAGGAGGGAAGCATCTTCAAGCCACACCACGTCTCTGGGGCTTCTGCATCTGCTGCAGATTCCTTTGCCACTCCCGGCCTCACGCTATTCTTTTTGAATCCCTGACTCAGCGAGCTCCAGAACAAAGAGCAGAACCAGCAATGTGTTTCTATGCCAAGAAAAAAACTTCAGGCAGTATGCTTTGCCGACTTCTTCGCTGACCCCGAAGTTTTCACTGACCCTGAATCACTTCCTCTTCCAACTTAACCCCTTGCTCCCTTCTCTTTCAGACTGCTAAACCGAAGAACCTAGCACAAAGACCGTGTTCTGCAGTGGTCAATAGAAAATGAATCCAAAAATCTCCTGCCTCTCCTAAAATGGACACTTCTCCAACAGGCCTATACCTGTGGCTATCTGTTCATTTACACCTATTAGAGCCTGGCAATGGTGGCGCACGCCTTTAATCCCAGCACTTAAGACACAGAGGCAGGTGAATCTCTGTGAGTTCGAGGCCAGCCTGGTCAACAACAGTTAGTTCCAGGATAGGTTCCAAAGCCACCTACCAGGATTCGGTGAGGAATGGAGCTACAGGGATAAGCAGGATCCTGGGATCTCTCTCTCTCTCTCTCTCTCTCTCTCTCTCTCCCTCTCTCCCTCCCTTTCTCCCTCTCTCTTTTTCCCTCTCTCTCTCCATTATACTGTAGGGCTTGAACCAAAGACCCCAAACATGCTAAGTGCTCTCTCCACAACCAACTTTTTCTGGAGGTCTCACAGTATGTCCCTAGTTTGTCTGGAACTCATTACAAATTCATAGAGATCTCCCTGCCTTTGCCTCCCAAGTGCTGGGATTAAAGGCATGCACCACTATACCTGGTTTGACTTTTGATTTCGAAACAGGGCCTCAGCCTCTGAAATAGCAGGGAATACAGCCTTGTGCCATCAGACCACACGGAGATCATGGTTTTTCAATAAACTGTGTGTGAACATGTGACCTGGTGCACATGTGGGGTTAGACCTCTCCTTCCGTCACGAGGGTTCCAGCAATGGAACTCAGGTCATTCAGCTGGACAGCAGGCGCCTTTACCTGCTGAGCCATCTCTCTAACCCCAAGACCTTATGTTCTTTTTAAAAATAGGGTTTTTTAAAGTTATGTGTATATGTCTGTAGGGGGGTTGTGCAAATGAATGCAGGTGTGCAAGGAGGCCAGAGGTGTTGGAGCTCAAGTTACAGGTGGCTGTGAGCTGCCTGTGGGTGCTGGGAGTGGAACTCAGGTCCTCTGCAAGGTTAGTATGTGCTTCTAACCTTAGAGCCATCTGTCCACTTCTGCAAGTGTCTCTTTCGGTCTCCCTGTGCCTCTGCCTCTCAGCTGCTGGAATTTCACATGTGAGCCACCATGCCTAGCTCCTTAGAAGCACTTTTGGGGTGACACTAACCCATTCTTTTGACTTTTCAAAATGACTCTGAAAAATCAAATACTTGAACCCTAGTCATTAATGTATAGACCAGTATCTAGGGAAATTAAAACTGGACCATATATTATTGATGAAGATTGCATTCTTGTCTGCATGTTGTGTAAAGTTTCTGTTACCACAGAACCTCCTCTGAGATTTGGACATGCACTGCACTATTTCCATGGAGGATCTAGAAACGGAGCAGAAGTTTAGAATGCTTGCTGCTCTTCTAGAGGACTGGAGTTATGTTGCCAGCACCAATGACAGGCAGCTCACAACCATCTGTAACTCCAACTCCAGGGGTTCATATGCTTTCATCTTCTGCAAGCACCTGCACTCATGTGCACATGCTCACTCGCGTGCATGCACAAGTGCACGTGTGCGCGCACACACACACATTTATACATAATTAAAAGTATCACATAAATAAAAAAGATCACATTTATTCCTCCCTGTGTTTATTTTTCTTTCTTGCACTCTGTAGCTGCACCACCTGTCTTCTTGTGAATAAATGCAGCCTCTCTGAGTGTACTTCTTCCGTGGGACTCCATGCTGAATCCCGGGCATGTAGAACCATCCTCAGCACCCAGCAGGTGTACCAGTCTGTTCAAGTATAACACAGTGTTATAAGCTGATGCCAGCATGGTGGCGCATGTCCGTGCAGACCAAAGTGATCCATTTGAAATGTAAGTCAAGGATGAAGATGTGGCTCGGTGGGTGGAGCACTTACCTAGCATGCATGGCATCCGGGGTTCAAACATCGGAACCGCATGAAAAGACCTGGTGCTGCAGGTCTGTCACCCCAGCACTTGGAAGGCAGAGGGTGAAGGACCAGAAGTTCAAGATCATCCTGTCTCCATAGGGAGTTCTAGGCCAGCCTGGGCTATGTAAGGCCCTGTCTCAAAACACCAAAAAGGAAGTGTAAATAGTAAGATGTCTTTATGAATTCTAGTGAGCGTGATAAGTAGATCCCTTAATACGCTGACAGGCAAGTGCTTGGGATAACTAGAAATCCCAGGCTACAGGAGAAATGCCTTTCTCGGCATGCATGGGAAGCAGAACAGGGTTTATGTGAAAAACAGGGAAGAAACTCATAAGGATGTTCATAACCATGTGATGAGATTTCCAAAGACGTCTCTTTCTCTAGTTGCTGATCTACGTGTAATGCAGATAAACGGCTTTTGCAATTTACAGATTCCAAATGAAGTTAAGTTAGGTGTGGTGGTGCACACCTTTATTTCCAGCACTCAGGAGACAGAGGCATGTGGATCTCTGAATTCAAGATCAACCTGATCTACAGAATAAGTTCCAGATAGCCAGGGCTACACAGAGAAACCCTGTCTCAAAAAAAACCAAAATAGATAAATAATAAAATTAAAAGGCTCTTTTCTTTTTTTCTCTTCTTCTTCTTCTTCTTCTTCTTCTTCTTCTTCTTCTTCTTCTTCTTCTTCTTCTTCTTCTTCTCTTCTTCTTTTTGTATTGTTTTGTTTTGTTTTTCGAGACAGGGTTTCTCTGTAGCTTTTTGGAGCCTGTCCTGGAACTCACTCTGTGGACCAGGCTGGTCTTGAACTCACAGAGGTCTGCCTGCCTCTGCCTCCTGAGTGCCAGGATTAAAGGCATGTGCCACCACCACCACCACCAGCCTCATCAAGCCTTATAGAAGGATTCTGATTGGTCACGCTTAAGACCCAGGTGGCATAGAAAGACTGTCTATCTATGATTGGTCAGACTTGACCAGTGACCTCAGGGTCTACCATTAATGCGAAGAGGGGCAGGGACTCGCTGTCCCTTCTAAAGAGGGGAGAGAAGGCCGACTGAAGGAAGCCCTGCTGCTCACTCCCTCACCACCTCAGCTCCAGCCTTGTTACACCCATGTTACTTGCTTACACTCTGCTCTAACCTTATGAATCAGCTCCGGGAGAATACTCCTGACAGTCACTGAAGGTGCAGGCCCCGTGACTGCGCATGCTCACACTTTAACCGCCATTGTTTTTCTTTTCTTTTTCTTATTGTTTTTAGATTTTATTTGTATAGGTGTTTTTGTCTGTGCAGGACCCAGCCATGATCAGCTTAAGAGAGGCACGGATCTCAGTAGTCTTCTAAGGCAATAAATACCTGGTTCCGAGAAAGACCACAAACTGAGACCACCCAGGCACCACCCAGGAACAGACCACCCAAAGGAAATTCCTAACATTCCAACCATTGTAGATAGGGTCACCTGCCAGCGCACACCCATCGCTTTTCACCAGGACACCCCTAGACAAATGTCAGTCAATCAGGGGTCTTGAACCTTAGAAATCCCTAACCCCCACTTTTGCTACTATAAAAACCCAACTCTAACTGAGCTCTGGGCTCTCCAGTTACTCCCATACTTTGGACACACAGAGAGTCGAGTTTGCCAACTTGTGTAAAATAAAGCTTCTTTGCTTTTACATATGGGACTCAGTCTCCTTGTTGGTTTTTGGGGCACTTTGCGGATCTGGGCATAACAATCTGCATGTATGTCTGTGCACCACTTATACCCCTGGTGCACACAAAGGCCAGAAGAGGATGTGGGATCCCTAGGACTGAAGTTACGGATGGCTGTAGGCTGCCATGGGAGTGCTGGGAATCAAACCTAGATCCTCATAACCGCCCAGCTACCTCTCCAGCCCCCTCCATTGTTTTTCAATAAGGTCGGGCTGTTTTCTTGCTTTGGGTAGAAACGGATTGTGTTTTCTGGATGCTGAGACTCAGTCTTCCCAGCTTCCCTGTAGTCTGTTTCTCACAGCTGACCCACCTCTTGCAAGATGATCTGACTTAATTCAAGTCCAGTCATTTTCCCTGATGTCTGTGCTATCTTTGGGAGTTAAATGAGCAGCATTGCTTAGCTGGGTGGTGGTGGCAGGCATGACTTTAATCCCAGAATTTGGGAGCTGAGGCAGACAGACCTCTGTGAGTTCAAGGCCAGCCTGGTCTACAAAGTGAGTTCCAGGACAACCAGGACTGTTTCACAGAGAAACCATTCCTCAAAACAAAACAAAACAAAAAGAGAGAGAGAGAGAGAGAGAGAGAGAGAGAGAAAGAGAACAAGACCTTCATACCTTCATGACCAGGACTATTCACTACCCGTTGATCACCCAGGGGACCCCTGACTCTGAAACAGTCCCTGGGCTTCACAGTCCAATCTAGGAACTGGACCGTTGAAGAGACCATCGGATGCCCTCCTGAGGGCCACTGAGAGCTGATAGGCCTGTGTTTCAATGGTTCTGGGAAAAGGAGAAAAGTCCCAGAGCCTTAGTTCCTCTTCTCTTTGGATTGAATCCAGCCTACACTAGAGACGCTTGGGACCCAAGTTGTCTAAGTAAACACGGATTCCTTGATGAGTTTCCAAAAACCAGGAATGCTGTTTGTTCTGAACAGGCTGTGGACCCTAAACCACCACTTCCCGATCACTGGGGCCCGGCGTAAGCATTTCAGCCATAGATTTCAAAAACATAGTGTTTTGGGGGCTTCCCATCCCTTCTTTTCAGGACTCCAAATCTGAACTGTGTGTTGTTTCTGCTGTTAGTGGAAATCAATTATGTGCTATACCTATTTATTGGCAAGTCCAGGCCTCTAATTCAATTATAACCCCTTTGGATGTGTCTCTACGGAGGTTGTCGGAATATGGAAAGATCCCAGAAAATCACATGCCCTTTCTTCCTGATTGAATCCGACAATAAAGGAAGAGCGGACACAGGAACCCAGCAAGTGGAGCTGAAAAAAGTCATGGGGTGGGGAGGAGC